CAGGATCAATTTGTCACAAATTTAAGAACAGAAATAAATTGATGCTTATAAGCATCTAGCAACTTTGTATGAAAACACTGACACAAAAACTAATCTCCAGAGACCAAAAACAGGTTTGTTTGTTTTGTTTTGTTTTGTTTTTTTCCTTCTTTTGCCTTCCTTGGCAATGACCTGTTCTACCATGAAAAGAAGACAATCTGGTTCAGAATACATAGAAAGACTGCAAATTAATTAGAAGCAGAAGACAGCAGAGGTAATGTTAGAAAATCTCCAAATGTAAGAAAAAGACTAAATGTAATGTTACTGCCTCTGGGATGAAGAAGATAAGTGGGGGTGAGGGATAGCTGACATAGAAATCCTACAATCCTACAACCACAAGGAACTAAATTCTTGGAAGAACTGGATTATTTGAGGTTAGAGGATTCTTTCCAGTAAGAACCCAGGCCAAACAACACCTTGATTTAGCCTTTACTTGTGATAAATAAACCCTCTACGAAGACCCAGGGAGATGATAAATTTTTATTTTAAATTGCTGAACTGTGGTAACATGTTCTGATACTAAAACCTGCAACCATGAGGATACTTTCTTCTGAAACCTCTAACTTATGTTTCAGAAATTCACACAGGGTTTATGTCTAAATGTATTCAAAATGTGACCACCTCTTGTTAAGTTTTAGTGCCACCTTCTGAAAACCTCCCTAGCTTCTAGTCTTCCCTCCTCTTCTCCCCTCTACCTCCAGCAAAGCAACCAAAACTTAAACTCACGTCACATACCATGTTTAATTTCAGTTCTGCCTAATAGCTCACTTTTCACTCACACTATAAGACAAGGTATTTACACTGGCTTATCTAGGCTAGCCCTTTGTGATGAGACCCTTACACCGGCCTCAACTCCAACTGCACTTTCTCACTCACCACTTTCCCAACCAAATGTCCCCACTTCCGTTCTATTTGTTTTCAAATTAATCATATAATAATCTGAATAGTACCTAACACCATTAACCAGATGTAAAGTTCTTTTATATATTTTTAATAATACTCAGTATCAATAATATTAAATATTTTATCTTCATCAATTTCAAACACTATTTCCCCTACTTTACAGTATTGAAATAGAGTTGCAGAAAGCTGTATTAGCCTAAGATTCAATTACTAAGTGGTGAAACCAGATTCAAAGTTATAGGTAACTGATGTCTGAATTAAACCCTATTTCTTAATTTAGATGGTGCCATTCACTTGTTATCCTTACATAGTCTTTGAAAACACTCCTTGGAAGTCAAAAACCAAAATTTCCTTTAGTTATTACATAAAACAAAATTCAATAGTTCAGTCTTACTTTTTCTGTAGTAACAGTCAAAGAAGGAACCAAGGCAGGTGATGGTTCTGGTTGTTTCTTGTGTTTTTGTTTGTGTTTGTCCTTTTCTTTATATTTCTAGAAATAAACAGAAAGTGTTCTAAAATTAAACAATAATTCATATTTATGTTAATATTCTTTTACAACCACTGTAAAAAAATAAAATAAATCACTCCTTTTATCAGTTCTTATGGATAAAATATTTTTAAATGACCTTTCTTTATCTTTGTTCAATATAAGTAATAACAATAAATAATTGAAGCCTCTGACTATTTGCTATATTTGCAAGTAGCAATAGTGGAGAGGGTGTCTGAATGGGCCTTCCCCTTTAATCAGATTAATGACTACCCTAATTATCATTATAGAGCCTTCATCAAGTACCTGATGGAAGCAGATGCAAAGATGCACAGCTAAGCACTGGGCCTAGCTCCTGGAGCCCAGCTGAAGATAAGGAGGAGCAATAATATGAGCAAAGGGGTCAAGACCATTATGGGGAAACCCACAGAAACAGCTGACCTGAGCAAGTGGGAACTTACAGACACCAGTCTGACAGTTGGGGAATCAACATAGGAAC